AGGGGGAAAAAATCCTTCCTGATCCCCTATGGTAATTGGATATTCCCTGAATTTAATCTCTGGTTAATCTATGGATTAACAATCTCTGGTGGTCTTCATTGTGTGTTTTCTTGAACTGTGTGATCAGCATCGCGGGAGGTATGTGAGAAGAGTCTTCCATTTTCCAGGGGCAGATCTCAGTAACCATGCATTTGCGGACCATGAAAGCTCATGCATCCTGCACTTTCAAATGCCTATATTGACTTTATGGGCCCTTTGATGCACATCGACAGATGAAAAAGTGTACCTGAGCTATGTTCCATGATGCGCTGCAACGCATATATGCAAACCAAACCCATAGAAACAAAGACATGCCAAGTAAAGTGTTTTGTGGAGTGTGCGTTATAGGTTAGAACAGAGCCTCAGTTACACTGTTGAACCCTTCTCATCCACAATCTATTTATTAACATTCTGCAGCATGATGTCGCATGCTGTGGATACATTAATAAATGTTTTTGACAGCCAGCAACTGACACTTACGGCTACTGACTCTTAATCCCCACTGTCACTGAACTTGGGTCCCACACTGAAAATCAGGAACCAATCACAGTAGTTCTGGATTATGTGATCTCTTTGTCAGCTGTGACATAGTGACCACATACTTACTGAAGGCTTCATTGACAAAATCAGTTTTTACTCCACAAACACTGCCACCTTTAGGGCTTGTTCACACCAAATGCAGACCAGATGTGCATGAGTTTCTTCCGATGACTGCAACGGGCTTCCGATGACTGCAAATGGGCAGTGTGCGCGTGCGCACACCGGCCCGTTCGTCAGTTGTCGAAAAAGCGGGCCACTAACTCGCCGAGAATCGGACGATTCCCGGCAGGTTTTCCAGCCTGCTTGTTCGACGGAAGAAGTGCGACCGTACAGTAGAAACGGTTGCACGCCTTCCATACACTGCACGATTCTCGTATGATCGCGGTGTATGGGCACCTTAACTCTCACCTCACTTAATACGACTTTACATTATAAAGGTCTGAAAGAGCCGCTTCTCTTTTCAATCTCAGGTGTGAAGATACCCGGTGTTTCCACAGTGAAAAATATTTCCTCTTTCTTTCTCCACTATAAGGACATAATTCTCCAGTGGTGGAATCGCTCCCCAGTGATATCAATGAAATTTCAGCAGATGGAGACAAAAGAGGTGCACTCCACAGTGCACTCCGTGAATTGTATAAAGTTTAATATAGAACATTTACTTACAAGCATAGATGGTAAAAAAGAGGTAACACTCTCCTATTACATGTAAGGTGACAAGTTCTCTTTACAGAACCTTTCCACCTCCAATACAGGAGTTCTAGCACAGTTCTGTGCTGGAACTCCTGTGACAGCTGGGAGGGGAAGGCTGCGAGTGCAGCTCTCACTGTTTACATGAAGCAGAGCACGGCCGGTGAGGATAGATACTCGGCAGAGGGGGGAGGACAGAGCCAGTGAGGAGAGAGGTAGGCATGGTGGGGGCAGTGGGGGGAGGACGGACCTGCAGTGTTATTGCAAGTGGTCTTGGCAACATCGCAGAGATCACTTGTAAACAAACAAGCGCCATCCCTGCTCTACATTTAGCCATGTTTTCCCACAGCAGGGCTAAATGTAGAAAACAACTTACCGCCCCCGAAACTGCATGTCCCGGGCGTCGGGAGGTTCCACACCGCTGTCGCCCTGAGGCCGGGCCTCGGTGGCCTTGTGGCAAATCCGGCCCTGAATGTACCTCAATGCACCAGGTGATGCACACAACAACATAAATTGGGGTGTGCTGTAATACTAAATAACAAAAAGCAAGAAACAGAGAGCCACAACCTAGTGCAAAAAGGTGGGTTTGGATGGGATGAAAAGAGAACATATACAGGGTTATTCACAAAAGGGTGAAGGGATTGGAGAAGGCAGGAGAAGTGAACAATCTAGGACAAGATAGTTGAACTGGAAAGTGAGCTGAATTGGAGAATTTTTCCAAATCAGCTATTTTGGCCTAGATTGTTAATTTCCCCTGCCTTCTCCAAACTCTTCACCCTTTTGTGAATAACCCTGATAGTGTTTGCACTCACATGTAAAGGATTTAATGAGGGCTCAGTGATATTAATCCATGTGTGGATCTCTGAGATGAGGCTGATGAAAATCCAGTAGTTGGAGGGACTGTGCTGGTCCACGAAGTGGGGGTAGGGATCAGGTGACCAGGGAAGGGACGACAAAACAGCAAATGGTGCGGTATCGTTAATTGATGCAGAAAGGAGAAGTATGTACTCACCGTAAGGAGTAAGTATGTACAGGTGTTGTGCGGTTTCCGAGGACAGGGTCTTTCGGCGAGCTGGTTCCTGTACTCAACCCGGCTTCTCTGCCTTTTGGCTAAGATCAAGTGTAGCCTTCAGGTTGGTGGACCATAGTATTCCTAGCCCGTCAGGAGCCTTGCGCCCCGGGGGGTCTGGAAATTGTGGCCCCTTCTTTATTGAAGGGCCAAGTACCCATGTGCACGTTTTTGTGTGTTGTGATTTCACAATTCACTTTTTTTGTTCACAGGGGATTCGTTTGCGAAGCACGCTCCGCGGGCTTGGAAAAAGATGAGGCTGATGGTTGGCTTGTCCAAAATGATCCTGGGCAGTGGAGATAATCCTGAAAAGTTCAGTTCGCGAAGAAAGGTTTACCGTTGGCCAATGAGATTCTGGATGCTAAAGTTCTGCCCAGACGTGTCCCCAGCTGATAGAAGGCTGTACAGGATGAGAAGAGGCAGCCAGGGTGCTGGTGCTGAATGATGCGACTGAGGTAAAGTTCTGTTCGTGCTGTGGGGCCGCTTCTGCAGGATATATAGCGGTGCCCTGGTACAATGTACACTGCCGCCGGAGTAGGGAGGAGAGCCGTTGCTGGCGTGGAGGAGAGAGCGGGGGACAATGAGGATATGGAGGTGAAGGAGACGGGGCAGATTAAAAGAGCACCGCGGGATCAGTGTCAGCCCAAAGCCTGTGTATTATACATGTTTCGAGCCAGATAGCAGGAATCCGCTTCCCCCACTGCCCCGTCTCCTGTACCTCAAAATCCTTATCGTCCCCTGCTCTCTGCGCCACGCCAGCAACGGCTCACACCGTTAAGGCCGTGACACACTGCACGCGAAGCAGCGCGGAGCGGGGGCGCGTTGCCTTTGCGAGCAGTGTGTCATGTCATTTACTGCTCGGCACCTCAGCTTGCGAGAGCTCGCGGAGCTGAGCGTGCCGAGATGAACAATTTCAACTTCAGCCAATCGGTTCGCACGTATAAACCAGCGCGTCGCGATGCAACAGCTGGCAGGTTGTTACGGACGAGCCGATTGGCTGAAGGTGCTGTCAATCATCTGACTGCACTCAGCTCACACACTACACACAAAGCTCCGTGCCTGATAGCTTTGCTTCGCTCTGCACGGCTTCGCGTGCAGTGTGTCACGGCCTTTATCCAGCTGCCGCCCCCGCTCCAGTGGCAGTATACATTGTACCAGGGCACCGCTATACATCCTCCAGTAGCGGCCCCACAGCACGAACAGAACTTTACCTCAGCCACATCATTCAGCACCCTAGGTGCCCCTTCTATCAGCTGGGACACGTCTGGGCAGAACTTCTGCATCCAGGATCGTCCACTACAGACCCTCCACATCATCAGCCAGGGCTCCAAGCTCATTGAACAACAGTAAACCATTCTTCGTGAGCTGAACTTTTCAGGACTATGTCCACTGCCCCTGGTCATTTTGGACAGGCCAACCATCATCCTCAACACATGCCTGGTCCTTTTGAGTAGAGCAACCAACTCACCGAAAGACCCTGTCCTCGGAAACCGCACAACACCTGTCTTGAGGGTGAGTACATACTTCTTTATTCATCAATTAACGATACCACACCATTTGCTGTTTTGCCGTCCCTTCTCTGGTCACCTGATCCCTAACCCCACTTCATGGACCAGCACAGTCCCTCCAACTACTGGATTTTCATCAGCCTCATCTCAAAGACACCACGCCGCCATTCATAGATTAATATTATTGAGCCCTCATTAAATCATTTATATGTAAGTGCAAACACTATATATGTTCTCTTTTCGTCCCATCCAAACCCGCCTTATTGCGCTAGGTTGTGGCGCTCCGTTTCTTCCTTTTTGTTTTCTAGCATACATACAAGACACCCCGGTCTGCTACTGTCAGGAGCTGCACACCAGCCTCCACATACAGCCCCACCCGAAGTGCACTTTTCATATTGGACTTGCCTTTGGAACTTTCTAGTGTGCTGTAATACAGCTGTGTACTCTTGGAAATGCATTGAAGAGGGATTTTAAATGAATTGCACCACAACGCACTGACATGTTAATGGTTTTACTATACATTACCACAACATGGTAGTGTAACCAGACAAATCTTGTTTTTAGTTTTGGATAGAGTGGAGAGGGAATAGAGATGTTTCGGGAGATTCACCCACTCTATTTGTCCTGGAGACTGTTACACCGAAAGTGAAAGAAAATTCCAAATTTTATGCTGTCATCAGAATAGGAATAGATGGGAAATCTTCCAATGGGGACACTAGTTTTGGTGACCCTGCTGTCCATCAATTACTTTTCTCACATTGGAAAAAATGACTCCCAATTCTTATTATGGCTATCAGACAGCAAGTAAAGGGATTCTTCACCAATGGAAGTATCGCACAGATAGTAAACAAAAGCTGACATGGGTTATGACTCTCCCTTACTCTATCCAAAACAAAAAGGTTTGGCTTCAGTTCTACTTTAAGGCACCAAGCAATCATTCCAAGGAAATTGTTATCAAAGTTGTGTCTGTGCTGCTCATATGAATTTCACCTGTCTTTCTTCCAGGGGTAGGGGGGTGGTAAGAAAATGAAAGGGAGAGTCACAGTTTTTTCATGACACACTGTGTTAACATGGCTTGTAGTTTGCAGTTCATAGGAGAAATATTGCTACTTTGGTACAAACGCATATAGTGAGTGTGATCTTTTTTCTCCTATCAGGATGGGAATCACTCCCACTTACAGCTTGCTCCCCTTTCACCCTCTGACCTGGGTGCTGAGATTGTGGACAGCTGGCCACGGCCGCTGCAGAGCTTCGCCGCACTGCAGAGTCTTGCCGGGACGGCCTGCATCTTCCTTCGACACAGCATCGCTATCACACAGATCGTATGTATATATAATTGTTTCCGGGGGGGGGGGGAAGACCCAGTCAAGAAAACATCCCCAGCATTCAAATAGGTTCACAAATTAAAAAAATTCTGTACTGGAAAATATGTCTATGGTGGAATTCCAGCCAGAGCACCTGTCTTGGTGATATCAGTCACGTGATTTGTACGTGTATTTTGCTCACCATTTTCCCTACATCTCATTCCCAGAATAAGTGGCATTGGGACCATCTGACCATTTCTCCCTTTTTCCTAACTCCATTCACACAACATGTTTAGGACCATATTGGCCATTGGACACACCACTGGTCAGTGAGAAGTCAATGGCCACCTTAACTGAACTAATTCTGGTAATGTAAGCTTTTAATTATACCTTGTATGGGAGAATTATCCCATTGCTGACTCCTATCTTTAAGAATGTTAGTTGCCTGGCTGTCATGCTGATGCAATGGGTTCACTGCTTTAGCAGTCGCTAACTTGGAACAAGTACAGAGATAGGGAATTCTTACAACTCATTTATAGCATGCATTTCTGGGAGTGAGTCAAAAAGTAGTGAAGCCAGACACAGGTCATTTCCTTTTTTTACCTGCCAAATGCCCACCAGCTGCTAGGTAAAAAAGTATGTATGGAGTCGAATGGCTTAGTACATACTTCAACGGGAATTGCCTATTCTAAATGTAGCTTGCAATGTTCAAGCTACCATAGGCATTCACTTCAAAGGTTCCCCATTATTATTATTATTATACAGGATTTATATAGCGCCAACAGTTTGCGCAGCGCTTTACAATATAAGGAAGACATTACAATCACAATACAATTCAAGAGAAGATGGTAAGTGGGGCCCTGCCCAAGAGGGCTTACAATCTAAAAGGTTGGTGGGTTCACCCACTGTGGTTGCATTAGCAGCATGGGCCAAATGCTGGCTGAAATAAAACTGGCCCTTTACTCTGTCATCACTAATAAATCAGTATGACTGGCAAAGAAGCCTTATTTTATTGCATTATGTCCACAGGTGGCGACTTTACCCACTGAACACAATTAACTTTATGAATCTCAATTGTTGACTTATAATAGCACTTATGCCAGCACTGATGCTAAAACACATTATGGGAATGTGCCCTAAATAACCAAGTTAAATTGCGGGGGGCACATAAGTTCTGAGCTTTCTATTGGATGTATGCCTGCTTCTGACTTTAGAGGCAGCTGTCTCTTGACAAATGCCAAAGACCCAATTTGCTAGTCTGAGCCTAGATGAGATATGCGTATGTAGTGCATGCAAAGAGAATGCATTTTAGCAAAATATGAATGCGAAAGGCAACTACATAATGCATTGGGCAGTGTTTTCTAAGATTAAGTAAGTCATATACCACCCTCAGCAAATTTGCAGTATCTTTATACCACTTTTTTACTCGCTAACTAAACCTTTAAAGAAGAACTCCAGTATTCACACTATACCCCCTGGCTGATCTTGCTTCGGCTGATCCTGCAGCTAGCTTTGGTTGTGGGAGCCCTTCGGTTCAGTTCAGTATTCACTATAGCCCGTACAGCTGCCGAAGGCGGCCAAGCAGCTCAGTCGAGCCGCAGGCATATGCTTTGGCTCGACTGAGCCAAAGTGGCAGCTGAAGTGGGGCAAACGATCGGCCGAAGGCTGGCCATACACCTTGCAAATGGCAGCTGGGCGGAGCCAGCCGTGATCTCATGGCTGGCTCCGGCCAGTTGTAATGACAGATCAGCGTCCCCAAATTACCTGGGGACACTAAACTGTCATTATACAATGACAACTGGTTGTTATTCAGTTGTTATTCATTGGCCGGCACCTGCTAGAAGGCTCTAGCAGGTGCCGGCCAATAAGAAACAGTTGGGCGGAGCTAGCTGTCACTGTACGGCTGAAATCAGCTATACTGAGCAGAAGTGAATAGCCGAACGCTGTTCGGCTCACTTCACTTTGGCTGGGTTATTCACTCAGCTGCCTTCGGCAGATTCTTCGAAGATCTAGACTATTTTGGTGGTAGATCTACTAAACTGGAATATTTAAAAAATGATTGCTTAAATAACACACTCTTTGCTGTCACATCATAACCATGATGTAATTTCTTTAAAAAAATACTAATTTTAGGGCAAAACACTTGCTTTTTATGGGTTCCCGATGATGTAAAGGTCACCATAGACATTAGTGGGCAGTTGGGTGTGCTGGCGTAATCTAACTGCTCTCAGGCATCTATGGCTTCTGTCAGGATCCTAAACATGAACATTTACATTGTGTTGAATCATGTTTTATCCTCATGGAATGCAGTTTTGCATTGTTTTATCAGATTCCTTGGTCTGTTGTTTTCTCTATACATTTACCTTACCCCTTATATGTATTGCAGTTGTGCTCTCAATGTATTAATATTAATTGAAAAGGTTATTGCAGTATGATTGTAACTTAACCTCCTTGAATAAATGTTTTTCTTGATGCTCTGGAATTTCACAAATCGGCCATGCTGATTTCCATGCAATAGTAATAATAGTAATATTAGGTCTCCCAAAAACATATTATCATCTAACCCTAACCTAATTGAATACACAAAACAAAGGTATATAAGGCTTTCTAAAATGAGAAGAAATACCACAATAAAGTTGAGCCAGTTTAAAGGAAATTACAAACTTTTATTAACATAGAAAACATTAAAAGACCCATGAACACCCATAACAACAGATCACACTTGTTACAAGGGGATTATCAAAGTCTTGATGAGTAAGACTAATTGGTTGCATCTACTTATACAAAACCCATATGGTGTCAACCACTGGATGTTGAAAGATGATTCCACCAATGTTCAATTGTTCCACCTTCAGCGCGTTTCACATCACCGTTTCATCAGGAAGGGAAAGTGAAGTAATCTATGGTTCACAAATGCAAAATCATTATTGCAACATATTCATACATGGGAACTACAGTATCGTATTTCTACCCATATTCACTTACTTGTAAGCACTGTATTACAATACAAGTACATAGGAAAATAATCCTCTATTAACACCCTGTAGGAAATGCTGCCAGCCCAGCAAGGAACCCTCAGACACAGAGAAAAGGTGAAAAACAGGAGAAGTACACCTCCAATCTCTAAAAGCAATACACTCATGCCAGTATAAAATTGTCTTCATATAATATATAACAACAGATTAAATTGAGCTGAAGCTCACCTTAACAGGGCAGAAAACTGGCTAATTTCCCCATATAGCTTCATTGTGTGACACTATAAATAAGATAATATTGATATCACTATTAGTGATGAGCCGAACACCCCCGTGTTTGGTTCGTATTCGAACATTCGAACGGCCGAAAAGTTCGAATACGAACTCAATGCAAGTGAATAGGGGTTGAACGTTCGGAAATGAATGTCCCCTTTAAGAGGGCTTATACAGGCAGTCCCCGGGTTACGGACGTCCGACTTACGGACAATCCGTACTTACGAACCGGGTCCACAGTTCTCCTAAATGTACCGGCAGCTGCCGGTACATTTAGGAGAACTGTGGCTGCAGCAGCCTGTGTCCCTTCAAATCCCCGCTGCTCTCTGTGCCTGTGTTGGCGGAGACAGCGGGGACACAGACCGCTGCATGTCTTCGCTGCCCCCCGTACCTCTGCTGCTGTCCCGGCCTCCGGTCCCCTGGTCTGTCGGCTTCTTCTCCGATCCGGCCACTGCTTCTCTGCCCCGCCCCCCTGCCTTCTCTTCATTGCAGGCTGGGAGGATATTGTAAAATGCAATAGCCAATAGCAAGCTGGTTATTGCACCCGCCCACTGCCTCAGTATGGGAAGATCAATCCTCAGATTATGAACCCAGATAGCAAGGATAACTTGCCACAAACTTGTGTCGGGGTTAAATTGTAATTTTGTTAACTTGCTGCACATATTCCTGGCAAGTTGCAGACTTGCTGTAATTGTGCAACAAAATTGTGAAGCTTGGCAAGTCTACAAGAGTTTAGCAAGTCATTTTCTAACTTGCAGCACAATTTCTTGCTATCTGGGAATATGCATCTGACCAATCCCTGAGCAGGCTCACTCAGAGGTATGGCTGGAAGAAGGTGATACATGTTTTGGAACACCTTCCAGAACTGGCTCTTTCTCTGCTGAGGCCATTCCCTGGGAGGAGGTCTGTGTGCTACAGGATGCCTGGTCTTGGCCTCAGCTTGTGGCAGATGCTGGGGGCCCAGAGGCCTAAGATGTTACTGAAAGAAACCTGATGGAAGATGAGCCGGAGGAAGAATGTGCTTACTGAGGAGTGTCGCAGAGGAGCTGGTGAGAGCTGCTGTCTGGACCCTGTAAGAGATCCCTCGGCCTCTATTCAGATATTATATAGAAGAGAAGCCAGTTGGTGCACTATAAGTCTTGTGACTGTTCTCCTTCATAGTCCTGGACTGTTCCTGGCTGTTCTCTGGTGCTACTACCTATCACTGGTCGCTCTTATAGGACCTATGCTACCTCTGACAGCTTTTGCTAAGAGTGAAGACATTGTCCTCTACTTTTGTTACTCGAGTATGCTGCAACCCTAGACCCTCCTTGTTACTACTAACCAATAAATACTAAAAAGACCCTACGACTTGAGCCTGTTCTATCCTAAAGTGGCGGTATTGCTGGAGCTGAGAAAAAGGGCTAGTGGCTGGCAAAACAGGTAGGAGAGCCTAATTCAGGAGAGCTCTAGGGACTGTCTAAGAACAAGCCGGCTTGAATGTTCAGGTGAGTATAACAAACGAGCAGTTAATCATTGCAGTGCAGGGGTAGCCCCACTGCAAGAGTTAATAACGTTTTTCCCCAGAGTTCTTTTTTAATTATTTACCAAGGACTCATACTTACACAGTAGTAGCATTACTCTCTCCCATCCAAGCATGCTGTTCTTACACATGTGCTCCACCTTGTGGGCCTTATAAAGAATTCAGCTCAAACATGCCTCTAATATAATGGCATAGCCAATGTAAATTCGGCTGATTGCACTGGGACAGTACCTGAGCAGAAATGTATCTCTTGATTTTCAAGGTTTGGTATTTTGAAGTCCCTCATCTAATTTGGATTCCAACCCTATCACTTCTAAATTCTGCTAATCATCTGTTTGCAGGCTGAACTATCTTTAGTCTGTTTTATTACCCTAATGTCTCCTGCAGCAACTGCTACTTATTTACAGACAATAGGCTGTAAATAGGCTTTTTATTATGCGTTATTATCTTCAATTATCATTGGTGGAAATTGTTGAAAATAAGGGTAATTAGAGCAAATAGCAATCTTTATGGCTTAGTGAGTTGAGTCTTTAGTCTACTGTACCCCACCTATGTTATCTATTTGAGCATCAATGTTCTCTCTGGATCTGAACCACTGTACAGATAAATGCTTGATAGAAACAGACAAATTAAAAATTGCAAATCCATTTGTATGCTCTGCAAACACCATTGAAAACTGTAAGTAGCAGAAAATAGTAGTTATTTTAGAATACATATGGAACTGATAACTTATAAATAACCCAGAAAATCGTTAAATTATCACAATTTTTTAAGGGAGTGGTTATTTTCAAGAAAAGCACCACATTTACACCAATATACAAAGCACCACATTCACACAAATATACAAGCCTAGAGGATCATTCTTCCAGACACAGCAAATAAAATAAACCATTTCAGTTAGCTATGGGCAATAGTTCTCTTATTACCTAGGACATTCTTTCCAGTTTGATATCTGATAACTTTAAACCAACTACTTTATTATAGTTACAATATAGTGCTATAGGTAAGGTATTAATTTTATTATGTGATTTGCCCCATTTATCAAGAGACTACAATTATGTTTATGGTCTTTTGAAGAAAAAAAAAAGTTTCTCTCTATATTTAGCTCAAAAGCTGTTAACGTTGCAGTAACATGCAACTGCAAAGAACAATAAGACTCAAACGTTACTGTAAATGGAACCCCAACACACCTTAAAAACACATGTGCAGTATCCTTTGCAGTGTGCTGCCCTATGAGAAAATGCAGCCTGCCCCATTTTCATATGCATTGTGGTGTATTTCAGCCTATTACTTTTGAATGGGCTGTTTGCGGCAACTTGTGTTGGCATTCATTGATGCGTGTTGCACAAAGCAGTACACAGTTTGCGGTGTGAATCTGCCCCATAGAAATATTTCCACGCACAGTTATAGTTTTCCAGTACAAAAAATCTTCATATCTACTGGTCAATATTATTAACTTGTGGAACAAGTTTCCTTAAGATTATTAAAATGATTAAAATAATTACAGTTATTAAGTCCCCTCCTTTCATAGGTAAAGGGTGGGAACACCATATTTTTGAATTTGAAAGATATGTGCCCCCCTACTAAACCATTTACCCAATATGTTACTCTATTCCAGAGTCTTTTTGCACCTCTACAGTTAAAAAGCATATGGTTCAGGTTTGGACAAATGGACCCTAACATCCTTACCCTTCCACAGCATATTTTGCACTAGATATAAAGGCTTTAATCATCAGTTTCAGGTATTTTTCCAAGTTCACTGTCTTTTTTGTAGCCTTCCTCAATATGTACGCCCACAATAATTAAAGTAGGATAACTATTCCTCTTTGTTGTATAACTCTACTATTTTCTGGTATTAAGCCATAGATATTAGTTCCCACGGGCTCATCAGGGGATGGGGCCAAAGCTTGAAATCTACTTAAAGCCTATTCAATTTAATGCTCAAGTTGAATCCTCCAGACAACCTGAAATACAAGCAAATGTATTCAATGTTAACCTTGGAGCAAATTTCATTCAAGAAGGGAGGATATTCTTTAAAACCTAACTTAAGCTAAAATGCTTTTATTAATTTTTTTTATTGTTTTGGATACAATGGGAAGATATCTGGTTTTTATTTCTGCCTGTGACCCCCACATGGCGAGATGTCAGAAGTTCTAACTCTTCCAAAGTAAAAAAAAAGCTTTTGTCTGGAATGCAAGATTTGGGGTGTATATACACATTAAAGAGTATCTAACCCCCCTCATCCCCTGCCCCCAAAAATTAATATTTTGCAACTTACCCAGTCCTTAGTTGTGGTGGCTGCATTAGTTTTCTTTTTTGAAGCTCTCTTGCCTTTTTTTACCTGGAGATTCTGACAGTAACACACTTCCAGTCCAAGGATGATACCACTCACTCACCTTTCTGTATTAGAACAGAAACAAGATAGGAGTATTCTCCTTAACATAGAGAGGTGTGGTTCTGTAGTCCACAAGGCTAGCTAAGAACAATGTAATTATAGGAGAAGTGCAGGAAGAGTAAAACACTCTCCCTGCTGCTTAGAGCTAGCTGTAACACCAAGAGCTGAGGATCATGTAATTGCTGAGCGGTCTTTTCTTGGTTCCCCCTCCACTTTCTGTTTCTCCAGCACTCACTACAATGACAGTGCGCCGTGCACAGAGAGGCAGAGCCAGCTGTCAGTTAGGCAGCTGGGGTGGATCCCAAAAATATTGTCTGGATACTTCTTGGCTGCAGTGCAGCTCTGCTAGCTGATAGCCGGCATTAACCCGCAATTTGCTGACTTTGTGTTACAGGAGTACATTCGTAAATGTGCCCCTTCAACCCAAAAGAAAAGTAAAGCCAAAAACAAGGTTTGGGTTTACTTCACTTTTAATAACAGTTAGCTCAGACAGAGAGCACGAGAAGTTATCAGCTTACAAGATTTTTGGCAGGATCAACAGGTATTTTTTGAAGGAGATAAGACAACACTTTCAATAGTATATCTTACAGACCAAAAGTGACCAAATAAGATATGTTCATTGTTAGGGTTTACATACTGTACACTTTAAACCAAGAGGATGTGTGATAATTAGCTTTCCCAGGATCCCACTGGAATACTCTGTGACGTCACCGGTGTCTAGACGAGGACACCGGAAAACCAGATGTAAGGTAGGTTACTTTTTTCTCTTAATTTTTTTTGCCATAATTTCCAAGCATTTTAACATGGGGGGATTTGCTTAGTATCACTATCATGCATTTTGATGCAAGGTCCACGTTATTCTCTTTAAATAATATGGTGTTGAGGTAGATTAGGTTACAGAAAGTAAAGTTAGCAAATGATCAATGGCCTGTGCAAAAAAGCTGTTGATGAGAGAATCTGTATCAAAATAACAATTGTTTCTTTGGTATTTTGTAACATTCTTATGAAAAATATATTAGAAATTCTAATAATTGTGACAAAAAAAGTATTTCCATTGTGTTTGAATGCACTTCTGTTTTATTTTAGGACAGAGAGCTGAGACCAGAGGAGATAGAAGGTAAGGAGTCTTATTGTGCATGGGCTGCTTCATATGCAATGGAGGGAATTTACTAAAACTGGAGCAGACAGACTCTGGAGCAGCTGCGCATCGCATAGTAAGCTATCAGTTTCTATCTTCAGCTTGAGCTTTGAAAATGAAAGCTACGAAGCTGATTGGTAGTCATGCATAGCTGCTTTAGATTATGTCTGCTCCAGTTTTAGTAAATTCCCTCAATACACATTTTATGTCAATTCATTGAACTGTTTGGAACTAGGATCCACTCTGGTGCTGCCAATTATGGGTGCTGCCATTAGTTATTTTAAGCTAAAAGAGGCAGATTCTAGGTACCTCATCTTGAATCTTGCCTCTGCCTAGTGAGTCACTGACATGGAACAAGCATGCAATCAATAAAGTCTAAAAGGTTTGAACACCCATCTTGCTTGTTCCAGGTCAATGACTTACTGCAGTGAGAAGCCAGAATTAGGGTTGTAGCCCTGGAGCTGGCAACCTTTAAAAACAAGTCAGCATAGGCAGCTTACATATGTGTCTAGCCCCACAGGTTAACTTTAAAGGAGAAGTATTGGGAAAGCAGAATGTACTTTTCCCAATAGTTTAAGCCGGCGTGTGCCACCGCTCCCTGCAGGGATTCCGCCCTCCCCTCTCTTTTCCTTCAGCTCTCATTGGAGGGACAGACAGAGAAGAGGGTGGGCACAGTTGGCTCTGGCTCTACAGAGGCAGAGCCACCTGTCACTCAGGCTGCAAGGTGGATCCCAACAATATGGTTGGCATTCTTTCTGGCTGAAGTGTGGCCCTGCGCTGTCAGCAGATAGCGGGTAGTAAATGTACTCCTGTAACCCAAAAAAGAACTAAAGCCAAAAATAGTTGGCTTTAACTCTCTTTTAAAGGGAGTTGTATAGTGTTTTGAAAATGGACAATGGATAAATCACTCACTGGCTACATGCTAGTGTGTGTGTGTGTGTGTGTGTGTGTGTGTGTAATCAGATTTTTGCAAAATGAATGGCTTTTTGGATACACCCCTAGATGTCTTCTAATATTTATACAAGGCAAGAAGCATAGGAATTGCCTAAGCTCATCGGCTCTATCAGATGGCCACAATGCAATGTGAAGGTCAGATTTTCACAGGACAATCGCTTCTATGAACATCTTATAAATAAACCGCCAACTGTATGTATACAGTTAATTCTTGTTTTAAAAGAGAACTATGGGGTAACCTTTTTTCCCCATAGTTCTCTATAGGGACACGGGAGCACATATACTTTTTCTTGTGACCCAAAACTCAGTATATAGTAGGCTATTGCCCCCTATATGCTGAGAGCACCGCAGCCAGGACGGATCCCAACAATACTGTCGAGATCCACCCAGCTGCCTGATTGACAGCAGGCTCTACCTATCTAGCGACAGCCAGCTATGACCGCCCCCTCCCCCGTCCGTCCCTCCAGTCAGCGCTGGAAGATTGGAAAGGGAAGAGGGGGAAACCCTGTGGGGAGTGGTGACTGACAGTCACTGCTCTCTGCAGGGAGATTATCGGGAAGTGAGCGAGCGGTGGTATGTTTTGGCTCCCTTCCTGATCAAAGGAGCCGAAGTGTGACAGTTTCAATGTCACATGTTGGCTCTAACTATGGGGATGAGTGTAATTCACTCACCCCATAGTTCTCCTTTATTTATTTATTTATTTAAGCAACAATACAAAAGCGTTCCACCCATCAATATGAAACAGTAAGGATGCCCTGTGAAAGTTGCAGCCTATCACTTTAAAATCAAACAGTAATAATAAAAATTGCACCCAGTAGTCAGCAGCACTCTGCACTCAGTGGACACTCACAGTGTGAATAAAGAATGCAATTAATACCAGCATAGGAATCACTTTTCCTTTACAGATAACAGATAGAAGAGACAATCTATCTCTCATGACAGGTCTGCTGCTCTTCTAGTTTTCCCAGCATCTCCCCCAATGCTCTAGTCCCTGGCACTCACATGACCCTCCCTGAAAACATGTTCACGACTCCTCCTCTGGCATTTGGCACCTAAACCAGTATACACTATTAGCAGTTATGTAATGCAGTAAAAGATGAGCAGATGCCATGCCAATAAAATAAACTAGGCCTCTTTTGAGGGAATTGGAATCTAGTATAATGTTGGTTGTGGTAACTAACTGGGTCTCATTTAAGAGGTCATACCAAAGTGATTCCTATGCAGGTATTAAATGCATTTTTATTTCTATGAAAATGGGAGCTGTTGGTACAACACCAGTTCCTCGTATATATAGTGGATATCTGTAAGTATATGTCAAGGGATAAATGAGCACATATTTTCAAATCCAACTCCAGACAAATTCTTTGTCATTTTAGATGGAGTTTTAAATGGAGTTTGTCTTTTCCTGGGCTACCTCTTGTTTCCTGAACATGAAGTCAGGGAAAATCCCCTTCATGGAGATACAAACAGCAGTAAAACTATGGCAGCGCTTCTAATACCTGAAACCTCCTTACTCTACTGTTAGAAAACAAGGAAATATAGACAGGGTGTGAAAAAATATTTCCCAAACTGAAACACAGTTGAGGTTTTAAACATATCCCACTCTGGGCTTTAATAAAGCATAAACACTTTAATAAAGAAACACTGTCATACTACACTTTTACATATTAGTCCTTGCATGGTTCTGTAGTGACCTGCTCTCATACATGTGTCTTTCTCCCTACAGAGCTGAGAGATGCATTTAAAGAGTTCGATCGGGATAAGGATGGATTCATTGGCTACAAGGAGCTGGGAGAGTGTATGAGGACCATGGGTTACATGCCTACTGAGATGGAACTTATTGAACTCTCACAAAAAATCAGTTAGTGTTCTTGTGTGTGTGTGTGTGAGAGTTCCACAGTAACATTATTGGTATTATATGAAAAGGACATATGCCTATTGAAATATTCATTAGTGCAATGCAATTACATTTGATAATATATTTGCCAAAAATTTTTTCCAGAGCTACATTTTTCCATAAAAAGGGTTTGACTTTAAGCTAAGAGTCTGACCTGTGAGTTCCATTTCGATATATTACACTTACATATCTCTAATGCATATTAGTTCTGTTCCTTACATGTTCACCCTTCCAGCAAAATATCACGGGTCTTTTCTGGCTGCAGGATGATTAGAGGAATAAAGAAAATGGCAGATTAAGTCTCTTGCTACTACTGTCAGGATGAAGCTTTCTTGGACAGTCCATCAGGACTTAAATGCAGCCAGTCCCTAGTTGGTAGCCCCTTCCGCTCAAAATTTCCTTTGTCGCTGACGATAACACAATGGCTGCAGAGGCTTGCAATTTGCACTGCTGTGTCTAATTGACATAATCCACTCCAATCTTTTCCCTGAGTCAATATTATTTAATTTCCAGCATATAGTGTGGAAAATAATTATTTGATCACCTGCAGATGTAAGTTTGCCCACTTACAAAGAAATTAAAGATCTATAATTTGTATCATAGGTGAATTTTAAATTATAGAGACAGAATATCAACAAAAATCCAGACAAAACACATGATACTAATGTTATAAATTGAGTTGCAGTACAGTGAGTAAACTAAGTATTTGATCCCCAAGCAAAACATGGCTTAGTACTTGGTGGAGAAACCCTTGTTGGCAAGCACAGAGGTAAGACATTTCTTGTATTTGTTTACCAGGTTTGCACACATCTCAGGAAGGATTTTGGTCCACTCTTATTTACAGATCTTTTCTAAATCCTTAAGGTTTCTTGGCTGTCGCTTGGCAACTCAAAGTTTCAGCTCCCTCCATAAATTTTCGGTCTGGAGACTGGCTAGGCCACTCCATGACCTTAATTTGCTTCTTCTTAAGCCACTGCTTTGTTGCCTTGGCAGTATGTTTTGGGTCATTGTCATGCTAAAAGACCCATCCATGACCCATCTCCAGTGTTCTGGCTAGGGGAAGGAGGTTCTCATCCAAGATTTTACAATACATGGCCCTGTCCATTGGCCCCTCAATGTGGCAAAGTCCGCCTGTACCTTTAGCAGAGAAACAGCCCCAAAGCATAATGTTTCTACCTCCGTACGTGACTGTAGGGATGGTGTTCTTAGGGTCATAGTGAGCATTTTTTTTTTCTCCAAACACTGCAAGTCGAGTTAATGCCAAAGAGCTCAATGTTGGTCTTATCTGACCACAGCACTTTCTCCCAATCCTTCTCTGAATCATTTAGATGTTCATTGGCAAACTTCAGAAGGGCCTGTACATGTGCCTTCTTGAGGAGGGGGAACTTGCGAACGCTGCAGTATCTCAATCCATGGCGGTGTATTGTTTTACCAATGGTTTGTTTGGCGACTGTGGTCCCAACTTCCTTGAGATCATTCACAAGCTCCTCCCGTGTAGCTCTGGGCTGATCCCTCACTTTTCTCATGATCATCCTTAAGCTGCCCATAAATCTTGCGTTCATTGGACAAAACTTTTCATCCGATGATCGAACCGTCGTACGATTTTCGTACGGCGGCCCCATCCTGCCCCGATTATCGCAAGGTTCAATCAGCCTGTAGTGAAAAAAACACCTGGATGAATTGCTGTAATCAACCGCAAGTATTTTCATTTGCGCATGAGCAGTGTTAACTGTACGAATTTTGAGGTACGGAAACGCAATCGAACCTTGCGAAAATCGTACGGTTGACAGACATTTTCTAACCTGCTGCATAGTCAAAAGTCGATCGATTGAACACTATTTGTGGTTGTACACTGCCCATCAACCATACGAATATCGGACAAAAACGTGATCGCATATGAAAATCAGCCGATAATCCTAAGGTGTATGGGCACCAATAAGTATTACATAATAGGGGAAAAGAGATAGAATCCTGCAATTATGAATATATGAGGATGATATGCTTCTGTATGTCTCTAAACCGGAGGTATATTTGCCTAAAAACGTGACTCTGAAGGTTTGCTGGTTACCATATATAACCGGGGAAGTCAGAATAGTTGTGTTTAATGGGAAAGCTACTATTAGTTGTAGGGACTGTTCAGATAGGTTCTGCTACCTGGGTTTGTACTTTCCTAAAAATCTGGGGGAAATCCACCTTCTAAATTATCAACCAGTGACTAAGGGAATTTTAAAGTTACTGGATAAATGGAAAGGACTTCTGTTATCAAAAAGTATAAAGAAACGTATGTACTTGATTCAATCTCTACCCCTTTTATTACTGCATCAGGATATAAGAAAATTGTAGAAAGGGATCTAGAGTTTTATTTGAAATGGGAAAAGAGCTAAGATTAACAAAAATAATGTGGTCTGCGAATGCAGAAATTAAGTTACCATATGGTACAATATTTCCTCCCTAGTTAGGCTATAATGCATGGTTGGTAGTACCTACGTTTTGGACATAGAGCTGGAGGAGCAACTCACAGAAGGTCTGGAAGTGTTTCTCCTGCTACATGTTAAAAGGAAGTATACTTTATAAACTTTATCAATTATTTTATCATTTTATTTTACGGATACACAAGGCTTCAAAATATTTTTGGAAAAGATTAAAATTTGGTTTTGAACATTCTAATTTATGCTGGAAAATCCCAGATTCGAGCCAGGAATAATTTGTAGAGTATATCAATATTGGAAAGATAGGGGCTTTTCTAATATATGAAATCCTTTTTTAGAGATGAATGGGGAGTTAATCCCCTACAATAAATTGATTTTGTGCCTGTATTTTTGTTTGTATTTATACATATTACAAAGCATATTCAGTGTTGTGCTTTTCACTAATTGTTCTTCTGTACTTAGCAGGGGGTAAAGTTGACTTTGAGGACTTTGTAGAGCTAATGGGGCCTAAACTTCTAGCAGAGACAGCAGACATGATTGGCGTAAAGGAGCTAAGAGATGCTTTTCGAGAGGTATGCCTATTACATATACCTGCTGTGTGTCCTGCTTACTATCTTAGGGCAGTGACTGCACCGTGTTCCATCCACCTTAGTGCATGTCTCAAGACTGTTATCATAGAAATCAAATGGGACTGTGTCACTCATTAAAATATTTCTAGCTCAGGTTACAATTAGTCTAAAAACCAATATGTTTTTGTTTGGCTTTTCCTGTCACTGATTTTCTCTCAGTAGCTACTTGGCAAGGAAGCTGACTGTCTCTGTGATACAAAGGGTAGTCATTAAAGGTAGAACTTAAAATTGTGTATATAAAAGATGACTGTGAAAATATAAATTCAAAAATGTATGTGAAAAGTTAAAATCAAATTAAGAAATTAAAAAATACACCATAGACTGTATCAAAATAATGACTCAAAGAAAGAAGTTCCATAAATGTTTGAAAAGCATCACTGTGATCTTAAGCAATTGATTGTACTAAAAATGCAGGGCCAGAAAACCTTTCTCATACATTAATCTATAGGAAATTGTATAGAGCACATACACAAACCCCATAGTTGCACTGCAAAGTTAATACATGCCTTTGTGTAGGTTACTGAGGCTTTTGTACTGCTCTAAACCCTAGGATATGTGCATGGGAGGAGTTTTAGAGAGCCCAGCATTTACCATTTACCAACTAATTAAACTAAGAGCTCTTGTTCTGAACTGCTTTTCAAGTGTGGCAACCCATAGCATCCAATCAAAATTGGATGTACGAGTACTCGCCCAAATGCTTTCAATTCTTATCCTGATACCGGAACTTCTGATATCAGGAAGACGAGCAGCAAGTCATTACACGCCGCCTGGTTTCCTGATTGGCCGGGAAGCCGGCTCTATGCTCCCTCGTCACCAAGTGAAAAACGAAATAACGAAACATCCGAAACAAAATGAAACTAAACAATTTTTTTGCCGGCTTACATGTCTACATTACACCCTCTGCAGTCATATTTTATCATAATCTTTCTCATCCATTGTGTTCACCACTTTCAGTTTGACTCAAATGGTGACGGGAGGATCAGCACACGAGAACTGCGAGAGGCTATGAGAAAACTCTTGGGTCAGCAACTTGGTCCTCGAGAAGTCGATGAAATCCTGAGAGATGTGGACGTAAATGGAGATGGACTTGTAGATTTTGAAGGTATATGACTTAGAAACGTTGGGCCTAAATTACCTAGTTGTCTGAAAGAAGTGTGTGTGCTGTCCACAGAATCCAATCGGGTTTCTACAGTTGTGTTTCCATTGTAGACCAGAAAATAAAAAGGTTCCTAAAGGAAATTCTTTAAATAAAAAAAAATCAGGCTCCATTTAATTACTGACACATGAATTATACAGATCCCATGGGTGTTTGACTCAAAGTTGCTCTGTGTTGGATGAAAAAAAAAGCTAAGGCAGAGTCTGAAGTGTAGGCACAATAAAGCCCCAGCACATACCTATATTAATCCACTGTGCCTTCACAGCTCGCAAAATTACTGTTAAAATGTCAAATCTATCAAAAGTTAAATCACACAGCATAAGCAGTTTTCAGGACTGGCAAGTGCTCAATCAGACACCCAGCTTTGAATTGGGGGATGCCAAATATGTGCCATACCTGGAAGTATTTCTTGTGGTTGCTGTAGAAGAGCGGGCAGTGGAGAAATGAGAGGAAAACTGGTGCAGGCACCCTAGGGTGTCTGCACACCAGCCCCTTATGCTTGCTTTTAACATAAAAGTCCAGCATAAGAGGTTAAGTATGTTTGGCTAAACACGGTATGCTCAAATATTCTGTAACTTAAGAAATGAATTGCTTCCTTTTGGATCAGTTGAACCACCCCCTTCTTAACTTTTGCTTCTGTACATCCGGTGTATAATTACCAGCAATAGAGCTTACAGGGAAATCTGTGATTTACAGACATGGAGATCCATTGCACAGAGTGATAGAAGTAGAAACAGGTAGGTAACACATTTGTAGAATGTTAAGCGTTAAGAGGGAGTGCAGTCCAAGAATCGTATGTAAGGGTTGCATAGCCGTCATGTGGGGGCAGCAGGCAGAGCTGCATGGCTGTGTGAATGCTGCCCCCTTTTCGGCCAGAGCATCCCAGGTTGCTGAGAGCCAGTCAACCTGGGACTCTCTGGCTAGAGTCCCACTCAGCTCCTGGCAACCAGTGACATCACCCTGCACAGGGATTTTCCAGCTCACAGGACAACAATCTAAGTGTCAGCAGACTAAAAGTGGGGTAAGCTAACTAAGGTTACCCTTAAACACAAACAATAGCTGCCACTATGTATTTTAATGAAAACATGCACTGTGTATAATATATGTTACAGCATTTCCGACCTATACAAATATGTCTGCGATACCTACTACGACACCCATTGCCATGCCAGGCAGGGATGAAACTGAGTTTCCTGTGGGCTCAGCCCATGCACCGCGTCATTCATTCACAAATCCGTTAACAGGATCTGTGCCTGAAGGGACTACAAGTCCCATCTGCCATTGTGGGACTCATACTTTCAGTGGATTACAAGTTTGATGGCATCATCGCATTTGGAGTCTATTCATATTTTCTCCCATCCATTAGGTGAACGCCCGTATCTCAGTACAGATAGGGGCTGGGAGGAAAAGCCTGCAGGTGCCAGAGCACTGCACCCATGAGCCAAAATGCAAAACGATAATAAATGCACATTTTTTCCTATGTGCATTTTTTTTTTCAAAAGCTGGAATATGCCTTTAAGGCTGGATTCACACTGTCCTGTGCATGTATTAAGTGTGAATGCACCCATATAGTTTACCTTTCCCTTTCACACTATACTGCCTCACGGTGATGTGAACTAGCACATAGGAAATAATAGGATTTTTACTTGCGATGCATCTGCCTTACCCAAACACAAACCCATTTGGATGAATGTGGAAACGATTTGGCCAGTTGCCTTGCCTGCCTAACCTCCACGCAACATTATTGGTTGCTAGGACACAGACAGATGCACCATACCAACTTATGATGCTGTGGAGCCACCAGTTTCATAACAACCAGTGGCACAGTGCAGGCCACATAGCATCCTTGGTTGCTGTTACACATGTGGCCCCATAGTGCCATTGGTTATAATGGTGTGCCGCCCTGCGTTTTAGCAACTGATGTTGTGCGGCCCAGCCGCTAGTGTCCTTGCAACCAATGACACTGAACAGGTCAAAGTGTCATTGGTTGCCGGGACACAGGCAGCTGAACATAGATTTCTGCTCGCATTACTGGCTTGGTCCAGCAAATGTCAAAGCGAACTGAACCCACGCCACTCATCATTTAATTTTAAGGAAGTAAAATGCATGAGTTCTGCTGCATGAAATTATGAAACCCTGAAGCATACGTTATTGTTTGGAAAATATTTATGCACAATTTGGGGGGTTTGGGCAACATCATAACTCATTCTAAGGCAGTGACATGCTGTGCCTTCTGTGCTGGGTGAGGCATCCCCCAGCATGCCGAAGCCCCGCCTCATCACACTGAAGCCCCGCCCCAACTTGGTAACCAAGCTGTGTGAGAGGAGACAGGGAGGAGCCTCCCTGTCCCTTACTTGCTCGTCACTGGTGAGGCATCCAGATCGATGTCCTCACTGTTTTGTTTTGTTTTTTTATTGGACAGCTTGGACCAATGGCACTTTGCCATTGATCCACGCCATCCACAGAGCTCACCCCCTCACCACTCTAACACAGAGTAGAGGCTGTGACCGCTCTTGCCTCACCAAGTTAGGTTACACAAGCAGTGGGGAAGTCTGCTGATGTGCAACCTAACTACCTGTCAAAAGCCAGATGCAGCGCTGCCTGTAATTAGCAGGAAGCGCTCCTTCCATGACGGGTTACACAGCGGGGAGGCTTTTCCTGCTGTGTAACCTGTAACAAGCCGCTCTGAATAGAGAAAAAGCGGTCAGCTTCAGACCTGAGCTGACACCTTTTTTCTTCATAATACTAGGTGAGGCTCAGCCTCACCTGCCTCCCCTGACTGCACGTCCCTATTCTAAGGTGCATTTAAAGCGAAACCAATTTTTTTAAAAATACTACTTGTCAGAAGACTTTGAAAACTTCTTTATTTTCACCTAGCATTTTTTTTTCTAATGTACATAGCCTGCGGCTTATGCACATGTACAATCTTGGCACACTTTGTGAGAAGTGAGGTGCTAGGATAATGCACCATCATGAACTGCTCAATGGCTGAAGAAGCAAGATGGTGGATGTGAAAGGAGCGCAGAGCAGATAGCGCAGCAGCAATCCCTCAGAAAGCAGCACTGTGTTTATTGCTTCCCATTAATGCTGAGAAAAAGTAATATAATAGGTTCTACAAGATGGCATGTGGATAACAAAATACGGATAAACCAAAACATTACACAGATTTGCCAATGTACATGAATGCTCTATTTTTTACTTGAAATTTTAGAGTGTGCATAAAAAAAAATACTTTGGTTTTTTTAAATCGAGGTACAACTTAACTTTCTTTCCTGGAATTACCTTTCACTTCCAGATCTGAAATTCATGTGATGTTTTGTCTTGCAGAGTTTGTACGAATGATGTCTCGCTGAAGAAACGAAGAAATGAAATGATAGTGTGAAGAGTCTTAAAAAAAAAGCCTGAATATTTATTTCCTCTTTGTCTTCAAAGCAATACGCAATTCAAAATAAATGTATATTATTCTAAAATCTTTTGCATTATTTTGACATCAGTGTATATACAAGATACAGAGAAAGTGCCATTTAACGGACCAGCATAATAATATGGTAATACAATAATACCAATCTACCATTTTTTTTTGCCAGACCAATGCCATGATATCCGGGGCGTCCCTAAATGTTTTACCACCCTAGGAGGGTGGGGTGCTGGTGGCGAACAGTCCAGGGAGTTGGTAAAGGAGATCACTAGCAGTGCATGTTAACAAAAAGCAAGGGGTGTTGATGTTGGTGGTGCACGTTACCTCTGGTTCAGGCTCTGTCCGGCATCCTGCCTAGCTCACTGACATCAATGCTTGGAACAAGCTGGATGGGATGCCAGCTAGATCATCACAGAGCTCTTAGCAACCTGGGACGCTCTGGCCAAACAGGGAGAGGCAGGTGACCCAATGAGATGCCATCTGCGGCAACAGCCTCAAGCTGCCTCATTATAGGGACGGGTTTGCATGATACCAATGACGACATGCTACCAGAGTAATGTCATGAGACCAAAGTGATACAATGTTTAAAAAAAAGGCTCCAGTGAAAGATGTTGGCTATCGCACGAAGCTGGATCTGTCTGTCGTTTCTGGAGCCTGGTGAGATAGAATGAGGGTGGGCTCCCTGGTCACCACTCCATCCTGGGGTCTGCACCTGACTAGTCAAGCCACAAGAATTTCTGTTCTTGTTTTAGAATTGTGTTGGTGTTAGGCATGTTTAGGTCTGCCTGTGAATATAAACAGGACAAGTTATACTTTCCTTTTGGTTTTGCTGGATATTCTCCCTGCACAGGAAAACTTTCTGTGACCACCATGTGATATATTTAAAAAACCGTGCACTGCACTAAAACATAGCGACCTATAAACTAGGAATGCACCGATACCAAGGACCATAATTGGTACAAGTATCAGGACTTGTACTCGCAAAACTGGTATCAGTGCATCCCTTTATTTATATTCATTTAAAAAAAAAATCATACATTAAAACAGAGATGTACAAATCCGAGGAGCTCTGTGTACTCCTTACAAATGACAGCTGCCTTCTAACTTTCGAATTTTTCTCTAGTCTAGTCTTGGAGCTCGAAAAGTGGTACATGTACCGAGTACGGTACTTGGTATCGGTGCATCCCTACTTACAAGTACAAGTACTGATACATTTTTGTTTATTGTCATGTGACCGTTTTTCTAAAACAATATCGACTAATTATTTCAGGACAGTGGGGGAGCGCCAGAGCCCGGTCCCAGCTGCAACCGCTGCAGCCCTGGTAGTTCTCGTGAAAATGCCAAGTATCAGCACTGGTATCTGAAAAGTTTTGGTGCATCCCTACTACAAACAACATGGGATATATAATCCCCTAATTCAACAATTTCATAATACAACCCCAATTCCAAAAAAGTTGGGACGCTTTGTAAAATCTACATAAAAACAGATTGCAATGATCTGTCGTAGTTCAAAAACGTAAAATAGGGAATAAAATGAATGTACTCACAAAAGTATTTGTTGTGTAGAAACCAAAATGCAAATAGAGGGATGGTAATGGGGGAACTGCCCAAGCATTATCTGGATGGAGTCGCTGTATCAGAAGCTGAGAGTGATGTGTTCAGAGAGCAATTGCTAAAACAAAAATAAGTGATTATAATTTTTTTTTAATCAAACTAACAAATTACTAACACTAATAAGATGAGGCTATAAGGAATAGCCTTAGGGATAAAGAGGTGCAAAATAAAGCATTGGTAAAATGGAACTATAGAAGTAGTCTTTATGATTAATAGGAATAAAAACAAATTTCTTATAAGCTAAATTGTTTTTATTGCTATTAATCATATTACTTTACATTGTATTGGGGTTGCTTTATGTATATACTTTTTACTACTTCTATAGTTCCTTTTTACCGATGCTATCTTTTGCACCTATTTAACATTCCCTATAGCCTCATCTAATTAGTGTTAGTTGGATATGTTAGTTGGATCATTTTTTTGTAATAATTATTTTTGCTAGGTATTTCCCGATACCACTTTTTCAGCACCAAGTACGAGTACAAGTACTTCCCCTCATGTACTAGCCGATACCAATTACCGATACTTTTTCTTCAAGGGACAGGTGACATTTAAAAAAAAAAAACAATACAGACTAATGATTTTAGGCCAATTTGTTTATGATTATGAAGAACTTTCATTTAAGACTGTTTTAGAACAATACAACATTTGCATTTGCTTTCACACAGCTACAGTGAAACTACAAATCTGATCATGCATCTGCCTCTGGGATCATTTAACCTATTCATGTTAGCAGGAGAGAATTGTAACTTCATTACCGCAGTGTAATGGAAGTGTGTACTATGGATCATTTAACCTGGTACACACTTCCAGTACACTGCAATAATAGAGTTACAATTCTCCCCTGCTAACATGAATAGGTTAAATCATGATCCATAGTACATAACATGTAGTTGTACTATGGATCATTTAACCTATTCATGTTAGCAGGGGAGAAGTTGTAACTCTATTTCTGTAGTGTAGTGGAGGGGTGTGCTGTATATATGTACTACATATACAGTACACACTTCCAGTACATTGTAGCAATAGATTTAGAGCCAGCCCTATCACAGATTCCCTCACTCACAGTTTCACTCCGATCCCTGTTGCCTCACGCGGTGCCTCTCGTAGTCGACAATGGGCAGGATCGCTGCATCACATCTCAGTGCTCAGCTTGTGGGAGGCGCTCACAATTCTGCCCTGCTAACATGAATAGGTTAAATCATGATCCATAGTACATATACAGCACACACGTCCAGTACACTGCAGCAATAGATTTTCAATTCTCCCCTGCTATCATGAATAGGTTAAATGATCCATAGTACAACTGCATATTATGTACTATTATGTACTATGGATTTTTTAACCTATTTATATTAGCAGGGGAGAATTGTAAATCTATTGCTGCAGTGTACTGGACGTGTGTAACATACACGTACTATGTACTACATATAGAGTACACTGCAGTAATAGAGTTACAATTCTCCCCTGCTAACATGAATGGGTTAAATGATCCATAGTACAACTACATGTTATGTACTATGGATCATTTAATCAATTCATATCAGCAGGGGATAATTGTAAATCTATTACTGCAGTGTACTCTATATGTAGTACATAGTATAGTCGCCGGCCGGCTAAATTAGGACCCCACTTTGAGCTCCTCCCACCTGACCAGCGCTGACTCGCCGCTGCTCTTCCAAACAGCAGCCGGAAGGTAAGGGGAAAAAAAACAATAGCGCAAGCTTCGGCGCTATGTATCGGGGCATTTTGACAAGTACAAGTACTTGTCAAAATGCCCGGTATCGGTCACGATACCGATGCTAGTGCCGGTATCGGGACATCCCTAGTATTTACATATATAGTTACATAGTATTTGGGGTTGAATAAAGACATACGTCCATCAAGTCCAACCCATATAGGTTAGTTTCACAGAACACCTGATTCCAATGATTTGGAGGGGTGTCCCAATACTTTTGGCAATATAGTATATATACATATATATATATATATATATA